TCACGATAGGCTGAACAGCCTTGTCCCGGCTGCAGGACGAGGCTGTGCTTCACGTGACTGCAAAAAGTGCAGGACACACAAGTGCAGGTTACCGGCGCTGGCCAGTGTGGTTTTTTTTTTATATCTGATTATTCAGTTCAGCGTCTGTCTCTGGCTTTCACCCTTTCTTTGGAGTAATATATTCCACTGATATGATATCTCATGAGATTAAGTGCCTCCTTACCCAGCCCCTATGGGAATTTGCTCACGTGTGTGAGCGTGGCCTGAGCTGCCGTGTGGCAGGGCTGCCCGTTGCATTTTGCTGGTGCAGGTAGGTGCCGTTCGCCCTGGAGCCCTTCCCTAAAACCCTCCTGCGCATTTGGCGCACAGATTGCGGGCTTGACTTCCTTCATATTGAAATCCTCTGGCTGCTGGACTCGCTTACTTTAATTTCTCAGCTCGCCCTTTGAAATCGGAAACTCGGCCGCAGGCCTGCTTTTGTTTAGCCTGTCATTTCATGTAAATGAATTGGCTCTTGATGACTGTGATCGGCTCACTGGAACCGTATCGAAAATAGCGTCATCTCTGGTGGGAGCCGAGGCTGCCTGAGAAAACCGTCGGAAGCAGCGATTAACAGCCCCCGGCCATTATTAGGATCATTTCTCTAATCTGTATCCAGAAAGCTTAGTCTTCCACGATAAAATTCCCGCAGTATTTACCTCCCTAGTGTAGAGAACTCTTTCTGCATCTTCACTTTACTTTTAGGGTTCTGCAAACGCTTAGCTTTACTCCAGTGGAGCTCCTCTTTTCCGATACTTCCCCAAATTCTATTGATCTGAACCAATTCTTTCATCTGTGCAGAGCCATCCCATCAGAAGCCATGCATTTTTTTCCCCTTCATTTTTATTTTCATCATTCAAGCTCTGCTCTGTAATATTCAGGTTACACCCTCTTTTTGGAGTTCCTCGGGGCTCTGCCTGGCTCAGATAAAAGGCTAGTCTGGAAACATGCATTAAGCATCCCCTTATAGTGTTTTTTGTTTGTTCTTGTGGCCACTGATCTGTGTGTGCTGCTCCAGTTGCATTAGAGGACTGAATAGGCTTTAAAAAAATGCTTATAAGGATATATCATAAATAGGTAGCATCTATAGCTCGTTTCAGAAAAGATCAGAGATTGGCATTTCTCTTCAGGAACCCATATAAGCTGGAGTTTTTCTTTACTTTTTTTTTTCCCCCCTTTGAGGTATGTATCTGCTTTGTGAGCTAGGAAAATTCATCAGGTGGGGAAAAAATAGCTCTGACCAGCTTTCTGCCACTCATCTCTAATGAATAAATGGTGTCACTTGTAAAGAGATGTTTCTGGCTATGTTTAGAAGTAGTTAATTGCGCTCCACCCTCTGCATGCTTAAATTTGTATCCCCAAGGAAATAAAATCTGGTACTGGGCTTTATCAGGGTGTGGAGCTTGGGTACCCATTTTACCCTCCGCAAGGAAGAGCCCCCTCTGCTTTTCATCAGGGTTGAATTGTTGACAGAGGAAGCAGTTGAAAACAGTGCAATTAGCTAACGATGCTCTTCATGCTCTTCGCCTGGACTCAAGGATACCAGTGCCTGCAGAAGAACAGAAGACTCTGTATTTGCAAATGCAAATGGCAGGACGCTACTAGCGATTCATTAAAATCCTGGAGAGGAAGAAGCCCTCCTGTGTCAATGATGCTGCTGCCTGTCTTTGAAATGCTGCTTCGTGCATCCTATAAAGCTCCCTGACTTTGAGGGCAGTGTTACAGGGGTTGCGGCAATTGAGACAGGTCCCTTTGATGTTCCTGATGGCAGACCTTGCCTTTGTGCTGTGTGTACTTGTGACCTGGAGTCACGCAGGCTGCTGCCACATTTCCGCTTTGCCTGGCACGGTCGGGGCTCTCGTTTTGGTGCTCTGGGTTCCTCGAGATGCTCCTGGCCTTCCCGAACCCCATGGGAAAGAGGCCCGGGAAGGCAGCGGTGGCATCACGTGCTCATTGTGGTGGTGGAAGTGAGTGCAAATGCAGTCACCTTCTAACACTGACTTCTGTCAGAGGTGTTTGTGTATATACTCTTAACCTCTTAAACTGCCAGCCCTGAGTTTGGAATAGCATCCACTGCTGCTCCAAAGCTAAGTGCAGTTATTCCAGGCCCCTGAATACCTCTCTGGATAATTATGGCCGCAATCAACATGTTCTTGGCCATGTTGTAAAGGTTTCATTCTGCCATCACTTTGGTGCATTCCTGATCATCTGGGTGTCCACGAGGCTGCTGTGTTAGATCTCCACTCCTGGGACACCAGCACCCCTCTGCTTCCCTCTCTTTGGAGAGAAGTAGGAGATGCTAGTTCTCCTGGTTTCAGTCCAAAATGTTTCCTCTGGAGTACAAAATGGGTAAAGTTAAGTCATCTCTGATCTGACAAGTTTTTGGCGTGTTCCTCTTGCACAGTCATCTTGCATTGAGATGCTGCTCTGTTTTTGTGTACTCCGTGCGTCAACTGAAGTTCATGGGTTGATCATGCAGAGATGGAGCTTCCGAATGGAAACGCTTGGCACTTCTTTGTGTTGCCAGCTTCCTTTGAAGCCGTGTGAATACCACGATCCTCTGCTTATCAGATTGGAAGAGGGTAGCTTTAAAAGGAAAACTTTGACTTCTAAAACTAAGATTTTTTTCACGCATAGCAGAGTGAAGCTTCACTTTTGTTTATACCTGTACAATGTCCAGTAATAGGCAAAACTTCTTGAAAAAAACAGGGCTAGCCTCTACCTTGGACTGTCTGCATAAATGCTGTTGAATCTTTTGGGAACTGCGTCTGAGGCAGGGGTTTGACTTTCGGGTTGTAGCAGTCGTACGGTTGCTTTTCCTACTCTCTGGCATCCGGACTTTTTTGAGCAAAGTGCTGCTCTGTTCCTGTAACTCCATCCCGACTTGCGCTGGAACAATTCTTGCTAACCCTTTTTGTTTAAAAATAACTCCTGTCCATATTTAAAAACAGACAGAAGCTTTCAGCTCGTGCCGGCGTCTCTGTCGCAGAGACGTTCCTGCAGCCCGTGCCGTGCAGTCCAGTGCTATCTCGCAGTACCCTCGATGGAAAAGGCAAGCTGATTCTCTGCAAGCCAGGCAGAAATATTTGCTAACAGCTAATTTGCACCACCGAGCTTGGGAGAGTGAGTTTATGCCCTCCTGGAGAAATATTTGTGCTGGAAACCTGCTGGCACGAATGTCTGTGGAAATAGCAGTTGGTATAACAGCTTCTCCTCCCTGGCTGCCTTGACACTGCTGGGTTCCTACTGGCAGCTTTTTGCGTCAGGCTGACTCCATTACTCGTAGCCATGTAATGACCCAGGAAAGCTGGAAATGAAGAATTTGACTGGGAACAAAGAGTAACCAAATGTGACCCTCTTCTGGCCTTTTAATCTTTAAGGAGACCTTGGGTCTAGCTCTGGATATACTTGAGCATGCAAATAGTGTGAGAACGGTTTCCTGAAGGACTTTGTTCCCCTTTTCCCAAGTACCTGAGAGCAGCAGCGAAATGTGCTTGGTCCCTAGAGAGAGGCAGAGAGCTCAGCTTTTGGCTCAGCTTTTAATGCCTGCCACCTGGAAACCATCACAATCAAATCACTTTTCTCAGCTGCAACATCTTAAAATAGCTGTTCTGGTTTCTTTTAAAAATAGTCTCTGTTCTGCATGTCATTACCTGCTAAAAATGCTTCTCCAAGCCCTCCTATTAGGACACTAGAGGTCGGTTTGTTAACTCAGCCTTTTGGAGAGGGAGGACAGCACTTTTGAGGCTAAACGCGTGGCCTTGCCCTTGAGCTGCCCCCAGTTCCCGCAGCCCAGTGCACTCGTGTGGCCGGCTGTGCACGCTGCTGGGTTTGCACCCTCCTCATGACAAGATGCCACCAGCTCTCACTTGAAGCCCTGTGGCGTGACTATTTGCAGGCACGTCTCCAGAGGTTGAGGACTCTGCCTGGTGCTGGTGACGGCCATGGGAGGAAAGCAGCTTGGTCGTGTTGGTGCGTCTGGAGAAGCTTTGGTGTTTTCCTAGGTCGAGGATGTCTAAAACTTCACACCGCGTATTCGTCAAAGTTGCGACGCAGCACCTCTGGCAGCTGGAGCAAGCAGGATTTGTATTTTTATTTTGCAGCCCAGAAGGTGCCTGGCCTGAGCTGAGCAACAGCCTGGGATCCCCAAGGCTTTTGAAGCATAAAGATGAGCATAAATCCCTTAATAACTAGCAGAGGAGTGTTGCGTTGTCCAGGCTTCCCCGTTTCACTGGCCTACTGAGCTGCTGCAGCTGGGGAGATGTCTCATGAGAGTTGCCCACCTTGTGGGAGACGAAATCCCTTAGGCTTGCAGAATTAACACCTGGTCTGATGCTGGATTTCGGGCATCAAGGACGTACGGGAGAGGGCAGGAGCGCTTGGCCATTACACTGCTGCCTCGGTAGCCACCGGTGCTGCTCTTTGCAGCCATCGACTTCGTCGGGTGCCATTGCAGCCTGCCATGCTTTTGCGACATTGAGGAGTGACTGTTAATCCTCGTGGCGAGGGCTTAGGGTTAATTGTGCCACTTTGCAAAAATGGGATTCGATATGCACTGCTGCTCGGGAGTGAGCTGCCGTGAGCAATGCTGGATGCGTTAGAATTGGTATTTGTTCTCGCCCCTTCCTTGGGGAGACGTTAGTAGGTATTTGGAGGTAATTATTGCTTTTATTCCACACTAAAGCAATAATTTAAAGGGGAATGTTAGAAAGCTAGTAATTTCCTGTCAGTGACTGACAGATGTTTTGCCATACATGAAATGTGCTTTCAGGCTCCTACTAATTACCATGACACAAATTGGCAGTAGTTTTCTTCCCGGGCTCCCGACTCCGATTTTGTCTTCTCTTCTTTTCCGTCTTTTTAAAGGGGGAGTTTCCCACTTTGTCGTGTTTTTATCGCACAGCTTGGTGCCCACGTTGACTATGATGTCCTCACCTTTCCCCTTTTCTACCCCTGCTCAGGTTCCTACCCCTCGCCCAAGGCTGGGGCCACGCTGGTTGTCTACAAGGACTTGCTCGTGCTCTTTGGTGGGTGGACGCGGCCAAGCCCTTACCCTCTGCACCAGCCGGAGAGGTTCTTCGATGAAATCCATACTTATTCGCCCTCAAAAAACTGGTAAGGAAGAGAACATCTGGATTCGAAGCACATGCTTTGACCCTGGAGAGCTGCTGGAGGGTGTCTCTCCAAGCTCATTTGGGACCAGCTCATAAAGCCGGGAAGATGCGTACACTCTCAGCTTCCTAGGTGTGGCCAATCCTGGCATGTCTGAGGCTCGTTTTTTAAAAAAAAAAAAAAAAAAAAAAAAAAGCACGGCATCACGGTCAGGCCCCAGAGACCTGAGCGTGCTGCTCTCTGAGACCTCTCGGTTACTTCCATATTTCTCTAGACTCATACCTAAAATATATCAGACTCTCCCAAGTGTTTTCTGGAACATCTTCCAGCCAGGCAGGAAAAACGGATGTGTATATTTTAAATATGTAATTCACTTGGCTGTTTGCTTGAGGTCTTTGAGGAAAATAAGAGATAAAACCTTAACTCCTGGCGCTTTTGTTTTTGGCGATGGTCTGAATTTAAGGCCCCTTGTGACGCTTAAAGGAGGAAGCGATCAAGCGGTTGTATAGACTGTTTTGGAGGGTTCTTTGCCTTTAAAGCTCCCAGACGAAGAATGTACCTGGCAGTGACCAAGGAGATGGCAGGAATTTTCTTATTCCCTTTAAACACCGTTCTGCTGGTTTTAGACCTCGCATTTCCGCTGATCTTTGTGTGAGAAAGGAGCCAGTGCTGTATCAAAGCGACGATGAATTTTCCTTCTCTTTCATTGAGAATGTTTAATCATCAAAACTGTCAATTATCCAATGCACTTTTGGGTAGTGACTTTAGAACACTGTAATTAAACCGTGTTGGAAATAGTTCAGGGCAAACTTAATTGAAAGGGGCAATATTTCCAACTTGGCCTTGTGACTTTGTCATGTTTTAAGAATGTTTAGCACATTAGTATTTCTAATTAGTTTCATTATTATTTGACTCTCTGTAGGTTTTCCCTGAGGTTTTCCTTTGTAATACATTCTTGAGGACTTTGCTGGCCCTTGGGATTTTTCTTTTTTGCCATTCTTTCAGTGCTTCCCTTTCTCGTCTGATGGTCAATGTTTTCTTCCCTCTTCCGCCAGGTGGAACTGCATCGTGACCACTCACGGCCCCCCTCCCATGGCAGGACACTCCTCCTGTGTCATCAAAGACAAAATGATCGTCTTTGGGGGCTCGCTAGGATCTCGGCAAATGTAAGTTGGGAGGGAAGATGGTTCGCAAGTGCTCCCGCAAGAAAGGCATGCGTTGTATCTGTCCTAGGATAGTTTGTAGTGTTTTGGTGCAGGATTACCCTGCTGCTGCTTTCCAAGCTTTGATTTCTGCTCAGTGCAGCTCGAAACAGTGCCCTGAACTGGGGCAGGAGAGAGCGAGGTGAGGCATGTGGAAAGCTCGTGTGCAGATGTGGAGCAGTTTGTTCATCAGAGGAGACTGTGGTGATCCTCTCTGCTTACCCCTTCCTGCCCTCATGCATCTAGGATGAGAGATTGGCTAGTACTTGCTGCAGGCCAGCTTTGGGGTCTGCCTGCTAACTTCCTACGCCTTTCACCTCTTCTGGGGAATTCCCTTGAGGCACCAACACAAGGGAAGGGAGCCCAATTTTGGCAGGGAGCATCTGCCCTAAATCAGCATTTTAAACGCCTGAAGGCCTGGGTTGTATCAGCAGTATCATCTGGAACCAGGGCAGTGCTGCAGCCGGGTGCTTATCTGGGACCTCGAGGGAAGTGAGTGTCTGTGCCTTTGGCTCAGTGTGTTGTCTCATCCCTGCAGGAGCAACGATGTCTGGGTGCTGGATCTCGAGCAGTGGGCTTGGTCCAAGCCAAACATCTCTGGGCCTAGCCCTCACCCGCGAGGTGGCCAATCTCAGGTGATGCTCTCCTTCACTTATTCAGCTCCAGAGCCAGCTCTCGCATGAGCACAGGCTGCAAAAGATAAATCAGAGATTAAGCCTCGTCTGGCTTCTTTCCAGCTTCCAGGCAGCCCCCTGTGGCTCTCCTGAAAACTATTGCCCAATTTCCAAGTTATCTTTGTGGTCTTTGCCTGCCAGGCCTATATTTTCTAGCCATTTATTTGGTGAGGTTGCACTCTTAAATCTCCTTAATGTTCAGGTAGATACTGTGCCGTGTCTTGCACATGACTCAGAATTGCATGACCGTTTCATTTCTAGAAAACAAATTGCTGGGGTTTGCCTGTTAGAGCAAAAAACGGCTAACATCACCCTTGGCAGTTAAAGAACCATGAAATAGTATCCCATGCTGGTACCCCCTTAATTACTCTGTCTTGATTCGAGTGACTTGGGATTGTCCCTGCTAAGGGTGTGGGTCTGGGAGTGCCTGTTCATTGCCTGCCCAGGGCAGTGAGCATGTGGGAGTCACTTGGCTCAATGCTGGCCTCTCCATCGCAGCTAGTTTCCCTTTACAGTCCCCAGAAGGACAGTCAGTAGTGCTTAGTGTGAGGTTCATCTCAACCTAGAAGAGATCAGATGGGTTGTGCTTTAAAGTACCTTTTTCTCCATCCACTGGAAAAGGAGACTAAGGCACTAGCTCACAAGGACCGTGCTGCTGCAAGCAGCTAACAAATATTGCCCCGAAGCACGTGGCCTGCCAGACGGGCCTTTTGCCTCCTCCCTTCCTGTAAAGAGCGGTGTGGAGATCTCTGCTGCTGGGCCCGTGTGGAGCTTAGGGAAGGGTGGTTGTGCTCACCCATAAGAGGGACTGGTTTGTGAGCTCTTTGGGACAAGGAGAAAAGGCTGAGGCAGTGGGGTGAACTCTGCGTTGCCCTGGGCCCAGCAAAACCGGCTCTCTATCCCAGCTCCACCCCTCACGCTGGGGCAGACAAAATTCAGCAACGTCTGCGTCGCCAAGAAGCTGTCGGCGGGCTCTGCCTGCACTCGTAGGCCTTGCTGAAAGCGCAGGGGACCGCTCTGCATCCTTCCTGGTCTGAAACGCTCTTCTTTGCCCCCCCCCAGATTGTAATAGATGATGAAACCATCTTAATCCTTGGTGGCTGCGGTGGTCCCAATGCAGTGAGTATAATCTGGGGAGCGGGAATTGCATGTGTCTCACTGTAAGCCTGAGCCCTTGGGGAGGGGGGGATCGTGTGTGCTGTCTGGGTGGCAGCCCCCAGACGTCAGGGGCTTCGTATCCTGCGAAGCGCTGTCTTTCTGATCTGGGCACCCATGCTGTAGATTTCCCAGTGAAGCTGTCACTATAGCTAGAGCTGCCTTTAATTAATAAAAAGCACCCCAGGCACTATCTGAGCAGCTCGCCAAGGTTAATTGAGTCTCAGAAGAATTAGCCCTGATTTTATAAAGGGATAAAAGATGTAGATGAAGTGACTTGTCCATAGCTGTAGTGAGGTGTAGTCACTCTTCCGCTTTCAGATCCTAATCTAGGTCACCATTCCTCTGTCTGGAGCAAGGCAGCTGCAAAACTCTGTTCCTTCCACCCCGACAGAGATCTCCTGGCAGTAAACCAGGCTCCTAAATCTGTCACGCTTTTCTTTGCAGCTGTTCAAAGATGCCTGGTTGCTGCACATGCATACGAACCCCTGGACGTGGCAGCCACTCAAGGTGGAGAACGAAGATCACGGAGCACCGGAGCTGTGGTGTCATCCTGCATGCAGGGTACGAGCCTGACTTTGGGCCAGCGATGTGATGATGGTGTTCAAAGGGATGTTGTGAAAGTGCCGGAGTCAAACCGCTTGGTCCTACAGTGTGATGCGGTCTCTGGCATCTCATACATTTGTTGATCTTTACTGCCTGTCCAGAACACTGCGTATCTCCTTTCTGTTTCCCAGCTGCCTCCCCAGTACAGCGTGAAGAGACGTACTGTAGTTTGTAACCCCCTCTTTCTTCTCCTCTTGCAGGTGGGACAGTGCGTTGTGGTCTTTAGCCAGGCTCCCAGCGGGAGAGCTCCGCTAAGTCCCAGCTTGAACTCTCGCCCTTCTCCCATCAGCGCCACACCGCCCGCCCTGGTTCCCGAAACACGGGAATACCGTTCACAGTCTCCCGTCAGGAACACAGACGAGGCTCCTTGTGTGAACGGCCGCTGGGGCACCCTGCGACCCAGAGCGCAGAGGCAAACCCCATCGGGATCCCGGGAAGGGAGCCTCTCCCCAGCCAGAGGGGACAGTTCCCCTGTGCTGAACGGGGGGAGTTTATCGCCTGGAGCCACTGCAGCTGGTGGTGCTTCCTTGGACAGCCCCGTACAGGTCGTATCGCCCAGCACACCTTCTGCTGCTGAAGGATATGACCTGAAAGTTGGGCTTTCCCTGGCACCAAGGCGGGGTTCGCTCCCGGAGCAGAAAGACCTGCGCTTGGCGTCTGTCGATTTGAGCTGGGAGCAGAAACCGGCTTCCATCATCTGTCAGATGGACGGTGTGGACAGCAGGACAGTCAGCGGAAGCGTGAGGAACCCCCCCGAGCAGACAAACGGGATCCACACGCCGCCTCATGTCGCTAGCTCCCTCCCGGGGGCCGTCTCTCCCGGCGCACTCCGGAGAAGCCTGGAGGCCGTCAAAGCCCTGTCCTCCAAAGGCGCCTCGGCCTCAGCAGCGTTAAGTCCTCCCCTCGTTTCTTCGCCGGGGTCCCCCGGTAGCCAGAGCGCAAGCGGTGCCGAGGCAGGGTCGGTGCAGCGTCCAGCCTCCACCCAAGGCGATGGTCACTCCTTACCTCCCATTGCCCGCCGCCTGGGCCACCATCCTCCGCAGTCCCTAAACGTGGGCAAGCCTTTGTACCAGAGCATGAACTGCAAACCCATGCAGATGTACGTGCTGGACATTAAAGAGACCAAGGAGAAAGGACGAGTCAAATGGAAAGTGTTCAATAGCAGTTCTGTGGTGGGGCCGCCCGAGACCAGTTTACACACAGTGGTGCAAGGCAGAGGGGAACTAATCATATTTGGTGGCCTCATGGACAAGAAACAGAACGTGAAGTACTATCCCAAAACAAATGCCTTGTACTTTGTGCGAGCAAAAAGATAATGTGGCGCCAGCCGTTCACCACCGCCTCCTTCCCTCCCCTCCCCTCGGCTTTCTCTCTCCTTTTCTTTTTAAGCCCTTCCTCTGTCATGCAGGCATTGAAACTGTGAATTAGGGAACAACAATAAAATGCAAAGCGAAACGTCAGTGCTGCCCTCCGGTTCCCGGTAAGACCCCCGTTAAGAGAATTGTGTTCGCCAGCAGGGAAGGACCTCTGTGCCGATAGGATCCACGTCGCTGGGCTCTAGCAGGAGCTCTTTGCTGGTATCTAGGCCAAGAATTTAGGGTGAACAGGTGGGGAAGTCGGCCGTGCAATATCCTCTTCAGAATTTTTTCAGGGGTTAAGAGGCCTCCTATGTCTCTACAACTCCTAAGGGAATGGCAGTAAAAATGGTTTTATAAGAACATGCTGAATACCTGCAGACAGGAGGCTGTTAGCTTGAATGCACTGATTATTTCCATGCTTGACTCTGAAGTATGGCTGTATAAGGAAAATAACAGCAATATCTAAAAAGAAATCTTCCAGCACTGCAAATCGTAACAGTAACCTTTGCTCAACACAAACAGGATGCCTTTTTTTTTTTTTTTTTTTTGGTGTGTCTCTGAGCCTTTTGGCCCGAGAGTCTCGTTCCTGTCCTGTGTACAGGACGTTAAGAAGGAAGAAAGGACAAAGTGTTGCATCGAAATGCCAAAGCCATCGAGAATTAGATAGGCAGGACTTGTTTTAGCAGTCCTCCCTTCTGTGCCAGGTCAAATTTTACCTGCCAGGTAAAATTCGTGCTGGATCAAGCTGCTAGTTTGGCGTTTCCCCGACAGGCCGAGCTGAGCTGCCAAGGTAGTAAGTACATATCTGGAAACGTCCAAGGCAATATTGCTTGTAGCATTCGCGAAAACAGCAACTTGTAGCCTGGGAACGCTTTTTTTTGGTTCTCTCCCCCTTTATCTTTTTTCCTAGCCAAACTGATGGATATCAGTCATTTTGGAGTGCAAGCGGCACGGTGGGCCAGCATCAGCCTTGATCGCAGGAACTGAGACTCATCTTTGCATGTGCCTCCTTCCGCAAAGATTAAAACCAAGAAAAATCCCAATGGATTGTACTCGAGTGTCCTTCTGGGACAACCTTCCTTCCTTCCCTTTCAGCCAGACAGCTTTCTGCTTGAACATAGGAAACCCTTCCCTAATCGCAGCCCGCTGGAGGTGGGGAGAGCTGGCGGTTGCCCTGTGCCCTGGCACTACTATGAAGTGGCCCTTTTACCTTTTTTATTTTTTTTATTTATATTTTTTTTGGTGTGTGTGTTTTCTCCCTGTCTGTCTGGCCACTGAGTTTTTCCTCGGCTTAGTGACCGCTTCAGGCAGAGTTTTAACCCAGACGTTTGCAATCAAAACCCTCCTCCAGTTCCCTCGCGGTTCTCGCTGCCATCGGGCCGTGGAGGGGGATGCTTGACCTCTTAAGAGGCTCTCAGAAGTGGGTGACTGCCGGCATAGGCTTGCATTTCTCTGCTAAAACCTGCCCCTTTGGGCCAAAAGGTGCTGAGAGTACCTCTCCGCAGATGCGCACACGCACACTGGTTTTTTCAGTGCCCAAATCGCTCCCGTCGTTGTCCTGGGAAGTGAAAATCGGTATTGAACGCCCAAGGGATCGGGCACGTGGGGGTGGGAAGGGTCTAAAATTTCTGGGAGAAGGAAGAAATACATTTCACTGCTTGTTGACTTTTTTGGAGCTGGATTTAATGACTTGCTGGTCTCGCTTGCAGATCCTCCTGCTTGTCGGAGCTCTGCAAGCTGATTCAGGCTGGGGGGATGGGGGGAGGGATTACAGCACCCTTTCCAGCTCCGTAGATAAACCTTTATTAAATCCAGCCTCTGCAACACAAAATTTAATTACCGAACGTATCATGCCTCATTGTCTCACAGGGAAACGCGTCCTGCACTGCCCCCCACCCCGGTTTTCGTCCTCGTGCTCCCGGCATGGTTAACGCTTCGCGGCTTTGCGTCCTTCGTGCTCTCCGCCATCCGTCCGGTGGGCGCTCCTCTTCCTCCTCCTCCTTCCCTGCGCGTCCCGCATGGTTGCAATAAATTGCTCCCACCGCTGCGACCGTCCGTCTCCTTCCCTGCCGTGTGGACGGACGGACGGACAGACGGACCGCTCTCATGTCGTACGCACAACGCCTGTGTCGCTGGGGCCGTGAGTGAGGTTTTTTCCCCCCGACTCAGGTGTACGAGTATCACTTCACCCCCCTGCCCCCCGCCCAACCCCTCGTTTTAGGCTCAGCCGAGCGTAGGAATGAAAAGTGAATTTTGGTGATATTTAAATCTGTGTAAATTTCTTTCTGTTTTTTTTTCTTTTTTTTTTTTTTGGTAATGTTTCC